CAGCCATGGGCAAACTATGGCCCGCGGGCCGGATCCTGCCCGTTTGAAATGAATAAAACTAAAAAAAAAAAAAAAGACCGTACCCTTTTATGTAGTGATGTTTACTTTGAATTTATATTAGTTCACACAAACACTCCATCCATGCTTTTGTTCCAGCCCTCTGGTCCAGTTTAAGAACCCATTGTGGCCCTCGAGTCAAAAAGTTTGCCCACACCTGGTCTAGTACCTCCTTCCTGAAACCTCATTGAGAATAAACAAAAAAGGTGAAAAGGTATTTGAGGAACAAGAATTGATGGCACAGCCCTGGTCGGTGTGGCTCAGTTAATTGGAGCGTCCCATGCACCGAAATCTGCGCTTCGCTCTCCCTTCCTCTCTCTCTAAAAATCAATGAAAACACATCCTCTGATGAGGATTAAAAAACAAAAAATGGATGGCATGAAGCTTGTGTCTTGTGGTACTTACATTAGTGCTTGAATTTTTCCACTAACTTTTTCACATATGAAGCACATAACCCAGAAGAGCTCTCTACAAACACGACGTGTGTTTAAAATCGCACACCGTCTCTCCAGTGCTTGGAAGGTGCGTCCTGGACCATAATGTAGACACGCAGGTTTCAGTATAAAAACGCACGGTAGCCACTCCCCCGACTTTGGAAGGAGTTGTTGTAAGAAAAGATGCCAAGCCTTGTTTTCGGCCTGGACCCTGCGAGGTTCCAGGTTGCACGTCAGCCTGCAAACCCTCACTCAGCTCTCAGGACTCGCTCAGCGGGTGCACATCAGGCAGTCAGAACAAGCGGAGTGTTTATCGGGGACGGTTTCCTTGGTGTGAGTGCGGGGGAGGGACAGGAGTTAAGTAATGTAGAGAGGTAACACATGGTAGTTCTGTAGCGTAGGTGTCCCACCGACACAGAGCCCGGTCACACTTAAGGGAACTATAATCAGACTTACACATATAATTGTGATTCTTCACTCACTGTGGAAGAGTTACTTGCAAATGTTAAAGGAAGATGTAAAGAGATTTATAGCCCTAGCCAGGCTCAGTAGATAGAGCGTAGGCCTGCGGACTGAAGGGTCCCTGGTTGGATTCCGGTCAAGGGCACATGCCCAGGTTTTGGGCTAGATCCCCAGTCGGGGGAGTGCAGGAGGCAGCCAATCTATGATTCTCTCTCAACATTGATGTTTCTATCTCTCCCTCTCCCTTCCTCTCTGAAATCAATAAAAATATATTTTTTTAAAAAAGAGAGATTTATAATAATTGATAGAATATTTTTCCAAAAAGACAACTTTAGTGTTCCAGCCAGCAAAGTGCTACCTGGGCTGCTCTGTCGGGAAGGGCGGTGCCTGCGGCCTGCACGGTGGAGAGTCCCCGTAACGATGGGGATGGCCCTTTGGCTAGAACTTTCTTGTAACTCCCTGACTGACTGGCTTTTCTCTCCTACAGCCTTTTGCTTTGTGTGTTTTAAAACGTCCCCCTCTAATTCGCTTCTTTGTGCACTCTCCCAGGACCCGATTCCTTTCGCAGAGCTCGCCCGTTCTTTTCAAGTTCATTCGTACACACGAGAAGTCTGCCTCGCGTGCGGTCATCGTTTTCAGTCTCAGGAGACAGGGCAGTTTCCTGAGTTCCACTACTTTCAAGTCCAGACCTGGGGGTCTTGACCTTCACACTTGGCCTCTTTCTGTCATTTTCTTTCCGCAGTCCTTTTCCCACCACTGCCCACTGCTCCTCCCTCCTCCCCT